GTAATTAACAAAGGTTGTGAAGAAGCAGGGCAGAAATTCTGAAACAGGTTATCTGATTCTAAACTCCAGGTTTACATCTATATGCACTATTATTTATCATGAGGATATCTCTACCTTTATATCTTTTCTTGTTAACATTACTCCTGCTAAGCATTATATATGTATCTGTGTCTTGGGACCTAGTCATTGTTCTGGGCCTACCTACTCCCCTCTCTTCTATGAAGTACATCTCCAGACTCCAACCCTGACCAATGTCTCTCTGTTCTAAATCAGCTGAACTTCTATCACTTCTATTTGATGGTTCATGAGAATTATTTGATACTGACTCACAATTGCTTTCCTTGTGCACATTTTCCTGACTACCCTTCTGAATTATCTTCCTGGGTGAGAGCCCCAAATTAAAATCTATACAGCAGGGTTGGAGAGCTTTTCCTCTTCCACTTGACTTACATAACATCATTCACAGGCCATACAATATTATCAAGTTAAAAATTAGCCTGCCATACTTAGTCAAATATTTAATTGATCCACACCTCATGTGATGTCTAGAGCTGCTTCTCTATGGTGAGATGGTGACATTAGATTGATGTATTGATGTTTAGGTTGTTATGAAAAAAAAAAGCTCCTGGATCTATTGAGTTTGAAGTTCCATCTGTGGTTGCCTTGGCAGGCTCAGACAAAAATGACTTCAAGGGTCTCACATGACCTGTGGGCTGACATTTCATATTCCTGGTCCACAGGACTGAAGCAGGTAAAACGTAGCAGTGAAGTGGACTCAATGCAAAAGAACATAAGTAGTTGGAGCAGTGTTAAATTACACTGGGAAGCAAATGCCTCATGTGAATAAGTCAGCCACCATCCAGATTCAATGCATTGACTTCCTTCATAGGACATATCATTCATTACCCAGCATGCTACAGGTTTATAGACCAACTCTCCTTGTCACTAGATTGCAAGCTCCTAGAGAACAGGCGCATCAGCTTTGTTTATCTGCCACATCTAGAAAGCCTAGAACATTGTCTGATGATCGGCCCATGAATACCTGTTGAAGAAAATTAATGAATGAACATATACTGCCAAATGGGACTCTGGGCCCAGTATTATAAGATTTGTGGATTTTTTCAAAGCCAGAGATAATTTATGTGCAATTGCTCAATTAGAAAAAAAATTGAGACCAGTTTTGAGATCAACAAAGAAAACTCAACTGCAGATTTGGATTCAGAGAAAGGATGTTTTCACAGGCTCTTGATGAGTGAGAGCTTAGACATTTTAGCTTTGTAGTTATTTAAAATGGTGTTCAGCCAAGTGTAGGGAGCTTGGAAAATAAAAATGGTGATGATGACACCTCAAAAATTCACACAAAGGCCACTGCTACAGCCCAGCTGTGTATTACTAATGAATGGCTCACGCTCCCTTCTCATAGCACAAAATAATTGATTCAGCTTCTGATCTGAAATGATGACCTGGACTTCACAAAACTACTCCATATCCAAGATTCGAAAGCTAAACCTTCCTCTCCTTCCAGCTGCTAAGGGTTGAGAAATGTCACTCCCGTGTGTTCCCAGTAATAAAGGGGAAAGGCAGTGTAAAGAAAATAGATTGGACTTCAAAGGAGTGACAGGAAGAGAGAGTAGAGTTTCAAACTGTATTTCCACAGTTGATAAACAGGAGCTCCCAATGGAAATTTTGTTTTCCTTCGTACTGATTTTGGTATTTTTACATTATATAACCTGAAATTTTATTTTAGTCAACCTTTTGATGTTCTTTGGTAGTAGGCTGTCTTTTCCATATAAAAACTAATTAGGATTTTTTTAAATGTTTGCTAATGATTTAGAGATTCTTATTTCTAACTCCAGTAAAAATCACACCTAAAGAATTAGAGTGTGCCTGGCTTTCAAAAGCATAATTGTAGGGCTATGAACAGTTTTTAAATACTTTAAAGAAAATATACTAGAGAAAACATTCCCCATGTACTTTATGCTAGCTGACCCACAGCAAGTCAATCATCAACTTCTGAAAACACGAAAGGAAATGAGATGTCTTTATGTTCCTTTTCTGTGTATGGTCCAATGAGTACAGCCTTGAAATGTCCATAGAAGACATCAACAAACAACACTGGAATTCAACATTTCAAATAATCCTAAGCCCTAAGAGGAGAATTCTGCTAGCCCTCTATAGTCACCATTTAGGTTATTATTGTAATAGTTGCATACGTGAAATCACTATATAATTTTTCAATTATGGCATTATTTTTCATGCTAGAAGGTTTTATTTTTAAATAAATTCCACAATGATTTTTATCCAAAACTACTTTTCAAAAACTTGTTCCAAGGCTATGAACTCTACAAATTAAAAATATAAATATCTACCTATTCTGTTACATTCAAATAACACTAAATACAGGGGTCATGGGATGGAAAGAAACACAAGCTAACTTCTCTTATTAACAAGGAAAGGGGCAGGTGCTGGTGGCTCACTGCTTTAATCTTACCTAGTCAGGAGATTGAGGTCTGAGGATAAAGGTTGGAAGCCAGCCTGGGCAAGAAATTCCATGAGAAACAGATGCTGGAGGGGATGTGGACAGAAGGGAACTTACTGCATTGTTGGTGAGAGTGTAAACTTGTTCAACTACTTTGGAAAGCAGTATGGAGGTTCCTCAAAAGACTCCACATAGAGCTCCCCTATGACCCAGCAATCCCACTTCTGGGCATTTACCCAAATGTTCACAAACAAGACCACACTAAAGCTACCAGCACAACTATGTTTATTGCAGAATTATTTACTATACCTAAGATATGGAACCAACCCAGATGTCCCTTAATAGATGAATGGATCAAGAAAATGTATCTATACACAATGGAATTCTATGCCTCCATCAGAAAGAATGGCATTGCCCCATTTGTTAGGAAATGGAAAGGCTTGGAAAAAATTATATGAAGTGAAGTAAGCCAGGTCCAAAGAAACATAGGTCCCATGGTTTCCCTTATTTGCAATAACTAGTATCTGTCTGAATCAAGCAGAAAAGGTCAGATAAGGTGATATTAGGGAAATGAACCCTAAGATATGTATTCAAATGTTTTTTTTCTTTCATGCGATTGTTTCTAACACATTTATAAGATGATTTCTTTGTTGCTTTGTATGTCCCTCCCTCATGGTATAACCCCTGCTCTCACTGTATTTGATGTTGGTATAATTTGTGGAGGGGAAGGGGAAAAACAAATTGTTTAAATAGGGATACAGGTGGACCCATTGCAACAATGAGATGTACAAGTCATTATGTCAAAAACAAACTTTACAACTTTGGTGTGGGGGCTGAGGATGAGGATTGGTTGGGGGGTGGGGGGAGGATGGGAAGGGATGGGAAGGGGAAACAAAGGAGGAGGCTACAATGCTTGATAAGAAATGTACTCATTATCTTGCCCGTGTAATTGTAACCCCTCTGTACAGTATTTTCACAATAAAAAAAAGAAATTCCATGAGACTCTTATCTCCAAGTAAACATCAAAGAAGCCAGAAGTGGGGCTGTGGCTCACGTGGTAGAGCATTAACTTTAAGGCAAAAACTCAAGGACAGACCCTGAATTTAAGCCCCAAGACTGGTGTACACACACACACACACACACACACACACACACACATACACACACACAAAATTAAAAACCTAGTGAAGGGATAAAATAGAAAGCATCTAAGGGCATAGAAGAGAGCCAGAAACTCCGAATCAAACCAATTTGACCCTGGACAAGTTATACAATCTCATTAAATTTCAATGTACTTATTCAGAAAAAAGAAACTCATACTCCCTTCACAATTAATATGAATATTAAAATAAAGCCATATTTAGTGTATAAAACACTGAAACAAAAAGCAGTTATTAGTTCAGCATGGCCAACCTTAGTATAATATAATGCAATCGTATGTAAAAAGTGCCTACAACATTATGCTTTCCCAAGTGAAAATTTACAAAAAGAATCGGATTGAATTTGCATATGTGGTGTGTATATGTGGGGGGTTGGGTGGGTATGGGTGTGTATGCACATGCACGTGTGTGTCCACACCCATGCACATGTGCCCTCATGCCTGAGGCTTGAACTCAGGGCCTGGGCGCTGTCCCTGAGCTTTTATATTCCAGGCTAGTGCTCTACCACTTGAGCCACAGATCCACTTCCTGCTTTTTGCTGGTTAATTGGATATAAGAGTCTCACATACTCTTCTGCTCAAGCTGGCTTTGAAACTCAATCCTGAGATCTCAGTCTACTGAGCAGCTAGGATTACAGGTATGAGCCACTGGCACCCAACTGCAATTGAACATTTAATTCAGATCATGTTCCCTGTATCTCAAACTTTCAGAAAATACAAGACAAAAATAAGTTTCAGAATAACATTCATAACAAAAAATATGAGATAAATTGCTAAGCACAGTATATCTCATAAGTTGGTAGATACATAACTGTACAATAACACTCACAGAGAATGCAAACAGCAAGTTCAAGGCAATGGCTATCTCTAAGGGAGAGGGAAAGGCAATGGGATTAAGGGGCTCTTTCTTTAATAGCAAACCATATGGCAACAACTGAAATTGAAAACAAGATGGTAAAATATTTACATTCTATACATGTGGCTTACATGGAGTTTATTATATTAGCTGTCAGATTTTCCATATACCAGAAGTAATTCACAACAGAAAGACACAGGGCCTTTCCCAGTATAAATAGTAGCTGATCTAGAGATGCCCAGGAGTAGGGATGGAGATGGAGGACTTGGATGAGAGGGTTTGGAAATGAAATGGCTAAAGGAATAAGCAGGCTGGGTATAGAAAAGGAGTTCTTCTCTGACTCTTAGAAACCGAGAAGCCACACTGATCTCAAACATTAAGGAAAGAATTGAGCTATATAAGACATGAAGAGGTTATTAATGATTCATGACTAATTTGTTAACCAGGTTACTGAATAGGTGGTATATTATCAAAAGATATCATTAGATGACAAAAAAAATACTTACTACAACCCCACTCTTGGTGGTAGTTTCTCTGAATGTGAAGTTGCAAATTGCCCAGGCTAAATAATATGTGGACATGAGAGGGGTCTGTGCAAAGTGATCTGTTACCCATCCATCTTCCTCAAACACGGACGTTTCCACTGGCATGTTGGATAGAGATAAATAAGTTGCTTGATGTTTGATGCTGATCTTGAAAGTAGCCTTGTAGATTGGCTCATCAAAACATGGGAATGCCTTTCTGGCATGGGTAGGTGAAAACTGAGTAACACCAAGGAATCTGGGGAAAAAAAGAAAAGAATATTTCAATTACCTTTACGTCTTAAGTTAGGTTATGACCACATGACATGCTTTAGCTCAGAGTGCATTTTGCCAAATCAGAAAAATGCTGTTATTTTTGTAACCAAGCCTCACTGCGTGGATAGCATAAAAGGATTTTTATGTCATATACTGTCCCAATAGTAAAAGTTCTTCAGGAAATTTGGTGTCTTAGCTAAACATTAACCCCAGAGCAGCACTTGCTAATTTTCAAATTTCATTGTGGCAACTGGGCATTGGTGGTTCACACATGTAATCCTAGCTATTCAGGAGGCTGAGATCTGAGCGTATCCTGGTTGGTAGCCAGCCTGGGTAAGAAAGTGCCCACGTGAATCTTAGCTCCACCACTAAAAAGCTGGAAGAGGATCTGTGGCTCAAGTAGTAGAGTGCCAGCCATGAATGAATGAAGTTCAGAGACCCTGAGTATCAAGCCCCAGTATAAGCACAAGAAAAAAAAAATCAAGTTTAACTCCAATAGCAGTTTAAAGCTTACAGAAGGAAAGTGCAGGAGAAGTCCCATCACTGTGCATATCTTGCATCAGCCAATAAATAAACAGCAGCCGCTAACTTGCAGCATCCTTCTCCTCTCTTAAAGTCCAGTAATAAACATTCAGAGAGTCCAGAGATCATGTGTGTGCTGAAGAGTCCAATAGTTTCCCCTTATCTGTGGCTTCACTGTCTGAACTCTCTGTTCCTCACAATAAACCACAAGCCCAAAATATCACTATATGCAGAGACAAACAGATACGTTGGGAGAGAATATTCATATAACTTTTATTACAGTGCTTATTATAACTGTTCTATTTTATCACCAGTTATGGTTTTTAATCTCTCAGTGTATCTAATTTATAAATTATACTTTATTGGAGGTATGTATAGACAGGGAAATTTAGAATACAAAAAGGTTCAGGATTATCCATGATTTCAGGCATCCACTGTACACACACATATGTAGACACACATAAATAACACTGAGGCATATTAGTAGAATGAGTATACAATAAATATCGGTGTAATAAATATGCCAATGTGTATACATATGCATGGAATGCATTTGTGCTTTTAGATCAAGGTGCATCTCATTAAAACTCTAGAACCAACCTCCACACTCTTTCACAGCCCAAGGTCACAAATTAAATACTTGAAGGACACACTTCTAATTAAGAAATCATTCATGAAAAAGCTTAAGCTTTTGCGCCAGGTATAGTGGCTCGCATTCATCATCCAAACTACACAAGAGGCAGGAAATCAGAACAATCACATTACAAGGCTACTCTAGGCAACAGTGTTAGTGATGCACCCAATTCAACAAACAATCTGCATGATGTTTTACAACTGTAATACCAGTTATGCAGAATTGTAAGTAGGACTGTGGTGTGAAGTTAACCATACAAAAAGCATAAGTCTGAAACCTAACTAAAGCAAAATGGGCTGTGTGGCTCAAATGGACGAACACCTGCCTAGAAAGAGAGAGACCCTGAGTATAAACCCCAATGCTGCCAAAAAAAGAAAGAGAGAGAGAGAGAGGGAAGGACAGAGAGAGAGAGAAGGAAGGAAGGAAGGAAGGAAGGAAGGAAGGAAGGAAGGAAGGAAGGAAGGAAGGAAGGAAGGAAGGAAGGAAGGAAGGAAGGAAGGAAGGAAGGAGGGAAGGAAGAAAATGCTTTAAAATGGTTGCTACTTAGAGGCCAGGTGTGGTGGCTCATGCCAATAATTCCAATTACTGAGAATGTAGTAATCAAGGGGATCATCATTTGCAGCCATCCTAGGCAAAATTAGCAAGAACTCATCTCAAAGAAGCAGCTCGGTGTGGTGGAATATACCTATGATTCACAGTAGCTCCTAGGTAAGAGGGTCATAGTCCAAGGCTAGCCCAACTCAAAGTGCAATTCTATCCAAAAAATAACTAAAGAAAAAGAGGGATGGATGTGGCTCAAGTGGTAAAGTGCCTGCCTAGCAAATGTGAGGCCCTGAGTTCAAACCCAACACACACACACACACACACACACACTAGCTATACAACTTGATATAAGGTGTGTTAGTATCAGACCATAGCATATTACTGAGTTCTAATCTTTTAGACTATTTCCTTCATAAGGAATTAACCACTATTCCCTTCTCTATCATCTAGACCATACGTGGTTAATCGAACATGACACACTTTTCCACTAACCTCGAACTTGGCCTCAAAATTATTCTCAGCACAGGATTTCAGGCAGCTGCTACCAATCAATACTGGTTGACATGTGTATTGAATCTTACTGGCTGTTCTTGACTCAAGCCAGGAAGCATAAATATTCACAACATTTCAAAATTAAGGAGTTTAAATATAACATTGAGGGCATACTTTTTTTAAGTATAGCTTTGAAGTAGAGAAAAATAAGGTGTTGGAAAAACTGATTGTATACTTATCTCTTAGGGAGGGAGTTTGAGAGTTATCTTGGGAACAGTGCTGGCCTGCTATTCACCAGACTTGCTTAAGTCACATAACTGCCTAAGCTTCTGTTTTCCTTAGGAGAAAGAAAACAATAATGTTTTTCTTGGCTTTCCTTACAAAACTCTCATGATGGCAATATGAGATAATATATGTGAACGAGTCTTTAACTATAAATTCTCATGCAAATATAAGGTTAAAGGTGGAAGAAATATTCGAAACAAATTGTCCACTTCCTGTAAATTTCTCAAGTGAAAAAGGAGATTCAACAAGGTTAAGTGGTTTGTCCAAAGATACAGAGAGAACTAGCACATAGCTGGTGATCTTTCAAATGCAGTAAAATTAATTCTTATCCATAATTTATAAATAATGTTTTAATTCAACTATTATGTAACAAAGGCTCTTCAAATTTGCCAGAATCATAGCTTTTGAATCATTTTCTGATAGCACTACAGATTTTTGCTGAATGAAAATGTCAGAACCTTTAGGTTAAAATGCACTCAATTCTATTTTTGCCTTCCTATGCCTTTATCTCACATAATGCTAGTGAACCTTATCTTTCAATTTATTAATTGAAACATCTACTAAGCTTGGCATTTATCTCCTGGGGCTATTTAAAAGATATCCATGGAATTTTATGCATAAAATCATGTTCCCTTTTAACACTAAAGTATCTGAGGACTGTAATTCCAGTCTCTTGACAGCTATTGTTTCCTATGTACAAGCTGAATTGGGTACTTGGTAGAAATTTTTTAAGGTATAAAAACATCTGTCCTTAAAAATCTTTGCAACCATATTTTTAAAACTTTTCACAGACACACATGCCAAGCAAAAGTTCTACAAGAGTTGAACAGAGAAGTTACAATGAGAATATTCTAAAGTAAAAATCAAAGGTGTTATTGAAATTAAGCAATTAATGGGTAGGAACTTACTAGATAGAGATCTAAATGCCTCTGTGCTAATAAGAAATTAATAATAAATACTTATGTAGAAGAAATGCTTTGTGTGCGTCTCCTTCTCTTAGTAAATAAACATGTTTGGGAAGGTAGCAATTTAAATAGCTGATCCTCAGGGTTGAAAAATAAAACTATCAAGATGCCTAGTACTTCTGCAATTATTATTCTCCATGAATTCATTTGCACAGTGTACATCTTGGCAGAGAGGGCTACCATATATTCTGATAATGTCTAAATGAGGAAATATCAATTTCACAGTCTGACACCTGAGAATGACTGTAGCTGAATTTCAATTCAGTATTTAAAAAAAAAAATCCAGAGTCCCCGGATAAATAAAAGCAGTCGGACTAGATTACATTTAAAGTCTTTGTCAAGCTTGTGATCACACAACCAGACAAAAATTAAAAATAAAATATCCCTCACACTTGATGAGGTGCTTTACAAATGTTATCTTACCCTGCTGTTAAGTACATTTATCCTGCAAATTGCCCATCTTAATTATCTGTTTTCTTTTTCTTTTAGTTTTCAATACTCAGAAGTAACGATAAAATATATATGATTCCTTCCTACAAGGAATTTATTTCTCTAACAGAACAAATTTAATGTATGCCTAAACAGTCATAATGCTAAAGCCATGATACAGAAGGGAAAGGTGTGAAGCACTGAATTCTGCTTAGGCAGAGTTTCTCAACCTCCTCACGATTGACATTTCAGGCTAGATAATCATTCACTGTGAATGCTGTTGTGTAGGATGGTCAGCAATATCCCTGACCTGTACTTCTGCAGGTGGGATTACCCTCGATGAGAAACATCTGGCAAAGTACTCCAAGAAGGCCTTACGGGCCTGGAAGCATAAGAATTGGTCTGGAAACCTGGATGAAGTGGAAAGGTCAGAAATGGGTGGAGAAATGAGTGGGTTGGTGAGAGGAAGCATAGAAATAAAGATTTAAGAGAGTTTTGGCACACCTAGGAAGTCAATGCCCAGCCCTCTGTTTTGCAGAGTCTAATTCTATCAGATCTCTGTAATCATCTAACACTGGCTCACCCTGAGACTCTCTTTGCAACAGAGAGAGCCAGTGTTAGGTCAGTGCCCTCAACAGACCACAATGCCTATGTGATTTTAACAATATAATTATACCTCATGGCCATACAGTTTTTGTTTCCCTTTAATTGATGGAAGTGAGACCTCTTCTTACTGTCATTAGAATCATCAGAGTTCTTTAGAAAGGGAGATTTAGAAAAGCAAATAATGAATTGTATGTAATACATATTATTTGCATGTTATTAATATTCATATATATATATATAGGTATATATCTGTGTATTAAATACAGCAAAAAGTAAAACAAAACAAAAGGTAATGGGGCAAGTCTTTTGGTATCTGTCTCCTGCTTTCTCAAATAAGATCATTGTTATCTTTTAACAAATACCTTATTACCATAAAAAATTCTACTTCCAAAAATGACATTCTGGAAGTGTCAACTCCAAGAATGTCACTTTAGCATAACTAAAAAAAAGTGACTAACACACATGTATTGTAATTTTCTCCTATCTAAAATAAATTACTTGATTGTC